CATAGTTACGTGTGTTCAAGGGGAGAATTCAGCCCTCAGAGGGATGTGCAATGTCTATTGCATTATTTGGCCTTCTGTCACCTTTGCCAACATTTAAACAAAACAGTTCTCTCTTTTTTTTTCTCTCTTTTTTTTTTCAGGAATTTCCAAATAATTTGGCATCTGATTTCAAGGAATTTTGCCAAAAGCATCTGCAACAGTAATGGATGTTGCAATGCTGTTCCAGACTATCATCAGTGACTCCATGGGTAGTACTTTGTTGCAGGGCTCCGTTTTAGCAAAAGCTGTTTTTATTCAGAAACACAGCCTCAAAAACACAAAATAAGTGTCACTTCCCCCGTAATGTAAATCATCACATTGTAGCGTTTCACTGCTGTTTTTGAAGAACTTTATGGCATTTTAATTTGGAGGTTATTGCTTTCTTTTCATGATTAAATAAATTAACAAATATTTCCAGTAAACTTCAAATGCACAGCCATATTTTCAGAATGGCACATGGTATTTGCACATGCAATTCTGGTGTAATTCTACAGATAACTTCTAAGTAAGTATTTTCTACAAGCCTGGGCAGCCTATGAACTATTATTATTGCTGTTACTAGTAATACCACCTTTTTTATACAGTGTGTGTATGGAAACATTTTTCATTAAATACTAATACCAAAAAAAAAAATAGTCCTTGCTTTAGGAGAATTTCTAAATATGGGCAGAAGACATAATATTGAAGAAGGTGAGATTGAGAGTAGTAGATTTTGCATATGGCAAGTAGCAAAGTTGGGTTAAGAGCCCTAATTCCTGGAGTTACCATTTGAACGGGACTCATTGGGACTCTAAAATGAATGGGAGTCACTGGGACTATAAAAATAGTATTTGTTACTGGGCATATATTTCTGCTTGTAATACAGCAAGTCTATTAGTAGTAATAATCACAGCAGAGGCAAGGTCCCCTTTTGCCAGAATTCGCATGCTCAAAGAGTATCCAGGCATGTGAGTGCTGTAGACGCTATCCCGAGTTTGCAGAAGTCGGTGGGAACGTTTCGATTGGCTTCAGCAGATCCTGGGCTTGTTTGGCGTTTGGTTATGGGCCAGATGATGTGATTCACTCCAGAATTTTCCGTGTCACTTTCTGTTAATATCTTAATTAGGATAAAAAAATGACAGTGTGTAAGTGCATTCAAGCAGCTTCACAGTGGCTAGAGATGAACAGGTAGCTGTGGCTGTGCTTCTTGTCCTGCAGCTGAGGTTAGGCAGAGCATACTGCCTGGCACTACTTTTAGTCTAAAAGCAAGCGACTGAGACTGTGTTGTTACAGAATTCTTAATTTCCTTATGTTTCTGCAATACCTTGTCATTTAACAGAGTGTGAAAACTGAGTCAGCCTTGTGCTTTTTTTCTTTTCCCGTCTCCATTCTCCTCTTTCCTGCTAAAATGTCACCTCTTAGCATATTCATTTGTTCTCTGTGCTAATGAGGAGAAAATCTCTTTCTTTAGACAAATGGCACAGGGTACGGTGAAGCAGTCAGACCATCTCGTTAGGCAACTAACCTGGACAGTATTAATCATCGCTTCACTGGTATTCATTTCTCTGTTGGCTACACAGGAAGTCGATTCTGTGAATACTTTCAGAATTGCATGATTTTCTGTTGTTCCTGCTCATCTTCTGGGAGGAAGATATAAGCATGTGTTACTAATTCCTTCTACTTATATATTTCTGGGTTTTTTTGTTTGTTTGTTTTTGTTTTCAAGAGGCTAAACAATGTATTTTCCTGGTCTGCCAGTGCATTGTAGTGCTGCTAAGAAGCTCTAAGTCCAGCTGCTTTCATTGCACGGGAGATGTGCTGCAGCCCCTCGTTCGCAGCCGCTGCTGTTATCTGTGTTACTACAGCACCTGACACTGGAGCAATGTTGTCATAGGAGCCATGCTAGGAAACCATGGGACATAATTCTTGCCATCACAAATTTACAATTGAAATAGATAACAACTAAATGGAGAACAGATATGCCATAAATTGCATTCTAGTGTCTTTTTTTTTCCCTCTCTAATACAGTGCTGCATTATGTGTCTACATTATGTGTTCGAACCTATTAGATGAGGACCATGCTCACTAAAGGAGAGCTCTAATCCTTCGAGTTCACATATATTGGGCTGTTCAGTGCTGCGCTGGCTGTGCTCGGGAAAGCTGTCTTAGCAAGGACAGAAGCTGCAGTTATATTCTGTTAAGATTCATTTTATATAAAAGCAGAAAGCAAGGCGAGAGTAAGATACATGCCAAATGAAGACCAGGCCCCAAAGCAATAAAGTCACAAAACTCCTCACCTATGCAAATTATTATACTGGGAACTTAACCTTTTTTTTTAATTATTAAAAAAAAAAAATAGCAGCATTGTCAGTTCAGAATGAGCCGTTACAAGCTGCTTGTGCTGTAATGGGCTAGAGGCCTGGAGGAGCCATGGACAGGGAAGCGGGCGATGAAGCAGCAACACATGAACGGCTGGGAAGTGCTGGCCTGAAGGTGCCATTTGGTTCTGTGGGGAGGGACTCTCAGGAGCAAATCCCGTAGCAGCCTCTACGAAAGGCTGGAGTTAATTGCACCTTAAATGTGGGCATGTGTGCAATGCTACAGTTGTGTAGTGTTGGTTATCCTGCTCTAGCTGTGGGCAGGCAAGTTGATGTTCTGTTGCAGATTTGCTTATATCAAAGCAAGGAGAGAGCAAGCTGTTCATCATCCTGGTGAGATCCTGAGGCTTGCGTTTAATTCCTGGCTTTGCCCTCTGTGTTCAGATTGGGTTAACTCAAATCGGACTTATTTTCCCTGGCACATCGGTATGTTGTAAAGTGACATGCATTAAAAATGCCCACAGGTTCTTTGGTGATGAGAATTGTGAACGTACCTGTGCAGAAAGGACAGTAAATGAGAATAAGTAAATGAGAAGAATGGTAAATTGCAGCAGTAATCAGGAAGGTTAGCACTGTGATCCGCGGAGCTGATGCAGCTGCTCTCGCTGAGAGAAGCACCCAATTAATAGGCAACTAAATACATGCTCTTCATCTCGGGGTTAAACAAACATGGGCAGCTGAGGGGGAAAAAAAAGAACATATTTTGTTGGCACATTGGTGCAATAGCATTTTAAAGCATTTTTAAATACAATTTAACTTTCAGACAGGTTAATGTAACTTCCTACATTCTCACCTTTATCCCTGCCCACATGTGCTCTGCCTAAAGGGACAGAGAAAACTGGGCTGTCGGGGCTTCTTTCTCTTCTTCAGTCTGTTTGACTAGAGGTGACTGTGGCTCTGTGCAGGGAGGGTCATCTCCCTCCCCCAGATCAATATTTTAATATGACTTATCAGAAAGAGAATGAGTTGTTTACTTTCAAACTCCAGGATCCCATAAAGGGCGAGGGAAGAGTGTCCGCTGGAACCAGAGGCTTTTCCGAGCTGCTGCTGCTGCTGCGGAGCGCCCCGGAGGGCCTCGGCCCCCCGAGCCGAGCACAGGGATCCCRAGCAGAGCGTCCCAGCGGAGCCTCGCTGGTGGCCGGTGCTGGCCGCAGCGCGGGACGTGGTGAGTGCCCTGCTGGGCTTGCCTCACAAGGCAAGGGAACGATAACAGGCATTAGCAGGAATGGGAGCTCATGAGTTTGCAATGGGAAGCACATAAACCACGTGAACCTGCGGGCTGCATGTGTAATCCAAAGGGGCTTAATGCCTTATAGCTACAGTCTCAGCCTCAGGTTTAACAGTGAGTAGCAACATTTTATTGCCATCAGTGGGAAAGCCTCCCTAACCTCATCATGAAGGAGGCCGGTGGTGAGTGTGGTAGATGTCCTCAGCTTTTTGGGAGTGTGTGAAACCTGTGCAGAAGTGATCCACATTCACACGCTTCTAGGAGACTCTCTTCCACTTCATAAAGAATGCTGCTCCTACTTCTAGAATTCTAATAATGTTCTTTGTCCCCATGTCTAGCAGAAAAAGTGAAGATTTGGGTTTGCCATGATGTTTATATATCGCTTTCCCTCTCCTCCGAGCTATGCCTTTCTTGCTGTTTACCTCTGCTGCAGTGCAGTACTAAAACCTGCTGGTCGTTTCTCCTCCTTTTGTTACCTTTTGCTGTTGGAGATGATGCCGTTGGGTTGGCAGGTTCTGTGCCGGTGCGGAGCGCTGGAACTGCCCCTGCGCAGCCTGGGCCTGGCCCTCATCGCACGCGTTTCCCGGAGCCCCATGCCAGGCTGGGCCTGCGGCGGGCAGAGCCTAGTGAGGATAGCGTCTTGGCTGCCCCTTTCCTCTGGTGCAGAGAAAACTGAGTAAAATGTGCATGAGAGAAGGTAAGGGGGAAAAGGCAAATATTGTGATGACTTAAAAAGCTATGTGTAGCGCTTATGTCCTCTTGGTATCGATTTCTTACTATCATGGTAGAGTCAAATCCCTTCATTGCAAACAGCCTCAGGTTGGTGTTGCATCCAGGGCAGCAGCAGGCGCTCTGGGAGTGACACTGGATTTCCCGTGCTAGTTATGAGAGGTGGTGCCGGCTTCATGCCCAGGACATGCTGCAGCTCCCGTCCTCCTGGAGGGACTCCCTCCTGGCTCTCCTTCCCCGGTGGCCTGACCCGTGGGTCTGGGCACCCTGCCCGCCAGGTCTGCACGGGCACCCACGTGCACAGCCCCTTCCTGTGACAGCGCGCGGGCCAAGCGCAGGGAGGCTGAGACGGGCCGGGACGGTTGCAGCGCCGCCCCGGTGTTCACTGACTTGCTGCCTTGACGAGGGTGGGAGTGATAGAGCAGCCCTAATAACTGCGTTTGAAAAAGCACGTGAGCTGCGTGCTAATCAGCAGCTCATGGTTGATTTCTCTGCTTCAAGGGCCACCTCACAGCTTGGCTCATTTTGCCAGGTCACACCTGCACTAGAAAATGCTTCCAGGTCTGATGGTGTGTACTTGGAAATCCATCTACATAAACTGGGCGAGAGCCCAGTAAGTCCACAGTGACCAACACTGGTGAAATTTCATAGCATTTAAGGAAAAAGTTCCAGAAAAGGCATTGCCTCAAAAGGTAAATGTTTTAGAGCAATTAAGTGTTGTATTGGTCAGAGCGTGTTTTGCTTGTGCCAGTGGCTCTGCTTTGTTCAGTTCAGTGCAGGCAGGCAGCTGATGCCTGTGTTGCAGCCCTGCTGCTGTGCTGACACTGTAACCTCTGGTGCTTTGAGGTGCTGTTTGCTGCGTGCTCTTGGCTCTGTGGTCTGCACATAACATCAGTGTGAGGGCCCTGGCGCTACTCGCGCAGCCTCTGTCCGGGCAGCAGATCTTGGTGTAGACCATGTCCTGGGCGCTGCCGCCGCAGCTCCTGTGCAAATGGGAAAATGGGATTCTCCTGTGTGGCTACGCTGCGTTCGTTGCGCAGGTGGCGGGTCTGCCCGTGTCGTGTGTTAGGGAGCCACTGGTAGCGGTTTGTGCCTCCCTGCACTGCGAGGGGCTGGCGTGGGGTGCGTGGCGAGGCTGAGGCATGCGCTGCAGAGCAGAGCAGCGGGGCTGGCTGCAGCACTCAGGCCTTGCAGCTCTTGGGCTTGCTCAGCGCCGCCTCCTGCCCAAGTGATGCTGTGGTCTCTTTGGGCTTTCAGGGTTTTGTTTTTTCTTCAGACTTCATTATTGTTATTAATTAGTTAGCAATATTCTACTATTGCTATTAATCCATAGCAAATTAACTCGTAGCAATGTTAACTCACTAATATTAATTTACTAATTAAATTAATTTGCTAATTTTACTAATATCAGTTTTCTCATTTACTAATATTAACGCACTAGCTTGCACTTTTGTAAACTGTCTGCTGTCTGCAGAGGTCCTAGTTTTTTCCAGTCAGCTCCCAACATGCTCTTGCATAGATGAGTAAGTGTATTGGTGGTTGGCAATCTTTCCTTGGCCACAAAGTGCAGAAGTGGGAGGTGTTAGATACACAGGCTGCTTTTAAGAGGGCTTTGGCTTCTCCTCTCCTCCTTTTCCAGGGCAGCTGTGTCTGAGTTCTCTGCTTCTCTGCACTGCTCAGACGAGACACTGCAGAGCTCAACCTGCGTTACCACGTTCAGCAAAGCACTGTGCAGCAGGAGGCCCTCTGAGTATGTGTGTGTGCGCGTAGTGCGGATCTTTTACAGGATCCCTTGTCCTGTACCTGCTCCCCGGATCACCGGCTCTCTCCGTCAATAAGAGAAAGGCCAATGTCCGCAGGGGGGTCATCCCTCCTAGCTGCACGCTGCTCTTGGACAGCATGGATCACTTCCCAGGTGCCTGTCCCTTTCCATCCCTGCAGAGGCACCCATAAACCCCACCTGTAGGTGACACTAAGCTGAGAGGAGGGTTCCTCTTGAGGAAGAGCTGAATCCTGTCTCCTGCTTCCTTGCTGGGCTCTCTAAGCAAAGCATCATGCATGGGGATGCGCACACATGCTCTGTTCTCCGTGTTTTGCAGATCTCCGAGGCCTCCGTGCTGAAGCCTGCGCATGTGGATATTGCTCCTTCCAGGGACTGGTGACTGCCAGAGCTGTGGAGTGTGACAATGGTGTTTGTGTCCAGTCTATCAAACGCCATTATCACACTAAATAGCTACTGGAAGAGAAGGCATCAATTTAGGAAAAAGCATGAACTGTGGCAATATGTTTTCCCTCCAGGCTGAGGAAGATGCAGCTTTGTCAATGTGTTTCAGGATGACTGTGCTCTTCTACATGGAAACCACCTTAATACATGAGACATGAATGCTCTGCTATATGCCTCCAGATTCCCACCGTAAAGCAGCAGGCATCACCTTAGTGCTGCATATTTGCTTCCTTGGGAGATATGAGTCATGCTCAGACACAGGGATTATAGTTTTTCTTGCAAGTGGCTTTTTTAGTCTCTTAAAATGAGATCCCTGTTGAGTTAGAGCTAATGTTGTAAAATGTGTCTTAAGCTGCTTTGCAAGTATTTAACACCAATTAATTGAAGAGCTGCAGTCTGAAGCGTATTCCTCTTTGAGATCCATTGTTGCATGGTACCAGTGTAACAGTGAACTGAAAGTGAATAAAAGTGAATAGAGAATAATGGTGTCAAATATTTCACTGTCACGCAAATGTCTGCTGGCAGTGTGGGTTTCCTTGGGATCAAGGGGCCCTGAGCTCCTGCAAACAAGGCCAGCCAGCCTGGCATATTTGTCTTCCTACTGACTTGACATTTCTGTATCATATGGAAGCCAATTAGCTGATGAAGTCAAAATCTGGCACCTATTTAAAACTCACAGATTTGAAACATGAATTGACTAAGATTTCTCTGACTCCGACAACAGGTTTGAAAACAGGATTTTAGGGAAATCTGTGAAGAAATGAAGGTGAAGGATGGTATTGCTTATGCTTTGTGTCAGTGTGTGGTGCTCTGGAAATAGCACTGCTTGTTCAAACACGCTTTATTTGGCGAGGCTGCAGAGAGCCGCCCCCTTCCCTTCAGGGAAGGCCCGAAGCTGTCAGTGCACACACCGAAGTCCTGCAGCCCACCGTGGCTGCAGCCAAGGCTGCCCCAGTTTCTGCTCCCTGACCCATTTGCCTCGTTTGTAAGGATGAGGTCCAGCAGAGCCCCTCTTCTCCCCAGCTGCTCTGTCGCCTGTGCTAGGAAGCTGGATGCTCCTCCTGACGAGCTTGTGCCCTGCTGGGCTGCGAGCCGCCTGCAGCAGGTGTCAGGGGGAGAGGTGCCCTGCGAGGACCACGGCCGGACACCCCTTCTGCCTCTCTGAAGGTCTCGTCTGCTTCCTCATCAGGCAGTTTATAGCAGACAGGCAGGATGGGGTCTCCCGGGCAGAGCCCCCGCAGTTCTGCTGCTCTCTCCTGTTAGAGAGGAGTGTGCTCCTTGTCCCTGCTTTAGCTGTGTAAGTAGAAAAGGGCTGCAAGGCCTCTGCAAAGGGACAAAGACTGAGCTGCCACATAACGTAAAGCTGGATCCTGGCTTGTGTGTGCACGAGCAGATGATGAGCTGGAAAGACTGGTGGGCAGGAAGCATCCAGCACAGACTGGACGTCAGTCCCAGGCGTTAACCTAACAGGGGCCGTTGCTGCACTCTCTTGTGCACCAAGCAGCCACGGGCGGCCCCCGCCAACACAGCCGCCCCGAAACCAGGATTCTCCTGCTGTACAAGATTCACTAAACCACAGAAATTGCACTGCCAGAATACAGCCTGGCAGACCCGCAGGAAAATGCACAAAGCTGCAGATAATTGTGGCTTCTTTTGGGGAAGGCCTGGGGTGAGAAGTGGCTGACAGTTGGGGGATCTTGGTGAGGGTGAGCTGCTGGCGGGTAGGAGGAGATGCATCTTTCTGCTCTGCCCTCAAGGAGGCAAGCAAAGCCTCTGTGTGCGTGGCCACCTGGGACTCGCCTTTGCAGCCAGCTGCTCCTTCAGCTCCAGGTGAGAGAACAAGGACGCGCGGCCCTTCCCGCCCTCGCCAGACCCACAGTGCCACCGAGGGAGCTGGTGCCAGTGCTCACTGCCCTTCTCCCAGCTACTGCCGAGGCAGCTTTTCCTACAGAGTCACATCTGCCCTGTTCCTCTCCTGCCACTCGAGAGGCTCCCGCGCTGCCTCCCCGAGCACAACGCCCCTGTGGCAGGAGCAGGAGAGCCGCTCTCGCTCTGGACTAGGGCTGCGTGCGCAGTGTCTGCGCTGCCGCTCTGCAGCTCACCGGAGCAGACAGCCCAAACCAACCCGCGCTGCTTGTGCTTCGCGGGCAGGGTCAGCACGGGCACCCCAGGTGCCATTTGCAGGTATTAAAGGAAACCCATTTAAATGATTCAAACATCCATGTGGGCAAACGGCTCCTAACCTTCCCCTGGCTCTGCGGCAGGATAATAACAGTGTAGATTAATCCTCTATTATTTTCTTACTACTGTGCTCTTGAAACTCAAAATGAAAAGTCATTTACTGAGGCTTTTATTGTAGAGCTGCATGACCTTTGCAACACCCACAGATACGCCGAAGTTTCCTTAGGAGAGAAAGAAAGAAAGGGCCATAATGAGCCAAGTCCCTGCCGTTTGCTCTTAGGTTACGTAAGGCTGAGCGGCAGGAGTTGTATTACAAGTTCCCCAAGAAGCAGCGCATCCGAAAGAGAACCCAGCAGCTCTCTCCTGCCACGGGTCTGCACGGGCTGGCTTGGGGCATGAGGTTCTGGAGCTGCATCCTGCCCAGTGGGTGCCCCCGCGCTGGGAATAGGTGTCCAGGGATTCCGGTGCTCTAGTCAGGGCTAGTCAGTCACAGAAAGAGATGCAAAACCTCAAATTTAGCATTTTTTTTCTCCTAACAAACTTGAGCCTCAAGAATAACCTAAGTTTAATGGCAAGGATCTATCTTCCCACAGAGATGCTTCCAAATTGCTACAGTCCCTTCAGTCGCTTTGCTTTTAAGTTTCTCGAACTGTTGTGCACTCCCGAGCTGTCGCCCCCATTTCAGGGCAGGACTGACCTTTCCTGGAGCAGCCGGCGCTCTCCTTGTGCTGGGCTTTGGGAAGCGGCGCTGGATGCAGCCGCTACAGTAGCTCCGAGTGCTGTAGGAGGGACGTGCGCCCACTCAGGTGCTGCTCCTGCAGCTTTGCATGGCGCTTCCAAAGCATTTGAGGGGCCAGGAAGGGACTGGGGAGATCAACTGTTACTGGTCAGTGACACTGAACGTATTCAAGACACAAACTGGAGAAAAGATCATCTTAAGTGTTACGTGCCCTATATTTTGTGCATGTGGAGCTATGCTCTGAAATCCATCAGGTGTTCTTGAAAACATTATGACTGGAGCTGGGCTACGGCACTTAAAAACAAGAAAAAATAGGTAAAATCATCAGTTTATCAAGAGGGAGGTAAACATTAAAAAACCTCAATACCTGTAAGGCATTCAGGTGGTTATTTCTGAACAAGAAGAAACATCCTTTCTTCTTGTTCTTCTTGTAGAAGCTTTATTGATTTTTCATTCTTGAGTGTTTTATCATTGTCAGCCCATGTAATAGAACTTAAATCACAACACATTAGTTCATCAGCTTAAATTACAGTGGTGAATGTAATTTAGGTGTTATGCGATGAAAAGCATAACACTGAAAAGCAAAATATTTAAAAATTGCAATTAGGACCCAGCACAACTTATTCATTCTCTGTGTTGCCATGAACATCTATTAATGTAATAATGCAGCTGTGAGCAGTGAGAATCAACCTTGAAATAGTCCTTTAAAAATGGGGTCTAGTTTTTCATTTGCTGATGTGTAAAGCAGCAAGATTAAGGTGGGTCGATGGCTAGTTACAGATGAATGCAATTATTAAGAGACATTTAGGCATGGGCAGACATATGGCACATTAATCACCATTTCCCTTCTGTTTTTGATATGCAGCCTGGAGGATATGAAGGGAGCTCCCCTGGTATCCTGTCAGACAATTGGATTTTAAACTCTTCACACAGTGATAACACCAGCAAATTTCAGCAAGGAAACCGAGGATTTTTTTTTCCAAGAGGGTCCTACATTAAGAGGATATTTCTATACAAAACAGACAGACAGGCAGGAGGACAGAACAAGAAAGCTGAGCAAGTGTGAGAGAGGAAGAGGCGACTCGGACACAAACCAAAAGCAAAGTCTCTATTCCCTGCTTTGCTTAGACATACCAAAGAGCAATGATATGTGAGTATCACGACTGAGCAAGGCTTTGAAACCGGTCAAGATATCTTTAAGCTGAGGTAAGCAATTAAGCTTTTTCTCCTTTTGGTTGCTCTAATGTCTAATTAATGTCTAATTATTTCAATGTAATTGCACTTGTAGCTGAACTCAAGTGCAATGACTGAATTTTAACAGGATCTTGTGTCATTATTATAACTGAAGCTTTTGTTCTAGTTGAAGCAAGAAGATGCTTTAATACAGCTAGGTTTTCCTATTACTGTCACTCAGATACTCCACTGATAGAAAATCAGAAATTGTGATTTACTCAGTATTGTAATACATCAGCAGTGTAATATGCCTATTAATAAAAAAAATATGTTCAATAAACTCCTAGGCAGTGGAAAAGCAACCAATTGAGTTCGGAAAGATGTCTATTCAAATATGATGGCTTGTTATTATAAAATGCTCCAAATATGCATTCACTTTGCAAGATCAATAATAAGAAAATCACAATTAGCCTTTGTGCAGTAATAGCAAATCCATCAAAACAGCAATATAGCCAGAATGAGCTCTGAGTCCTTAACAAAGGGGCCATCGATGGGCTTGGTGTACAGAGACAGACTCTGCGGGCTTCCCACGGAGGAAGATATTATAAAAGATTCATTTGTATTTGTTGCCAGAGGACATGAACGTGACCCTCTTTGCTTTCCCGAGCAGCCCTGCGCCTTCCCGTRTACTGCGTTCCCTGGATGTGTGTGTGGAATGTAAACACTGCGACTGTACTGTGGTTATTCTGGCCAGCAGTGGTGAAGAACTGCATCGACCCCAGGTTTTGACTAGTGCACGGGCAGGGCTCAGTCCTGCCAGCAGCTCTGCGGGCAYGGAGCAGCACACGGAGCAGGGAGCAGGGCAGGGAGCAGCACAGGGATCAGCGCACAGAGCAGGGAGCGAGGGCACCTGCCAGGAGCCCCGAGCATCTCCCTGCGCTCAGTCACTCGCAGCCACAACTCCGCTTTCCGGCAGGAAGAATATTCACTGTGGCTCTGCGCTCACCAGTGTGTACATGAAGTGTAATGAAGGGACGTCTTTAGGCAGGCATGAAACATAAGCAAACTGAATCTCTGAGGTGAGAGTGGGGGTTGCCCTGTCTCCTAGAGATCAGAAATAAGAAGTCGAACACCAAAAGGTGGAAAGGGAATGGAAGCAAATTTCCTTTCCAAAGATGTTACAAGGCACAATCATAACTGTATCCCTAGCAGCCAGCCACCAACTTCTTTATAGCACTAGGGAACCTATAGCTTGAAGCCTCTGCGACCACCACAGAAATGTGCAGGGCTACCGAGAAGCCCTGCAGCTCTTTTTTACAGCTTTCAATCTCAGTGATTTGTCCCACTTTTCAGTCACAAACCGGRCTTTGTGCAGAGATTCAGATCTGCAGAATCAAAGGCAGACTGCTCGTCCATGGAGCAGTCACAGACTCTCCTGAGCTTTCACCTTTTGAATTTTATGGTTAAAATTCACCTTTCAAACTGGCTTTCATGTATGTAATTTTATGCTGACTGCAATATAATTCAAATTTCTGCCACAGTGTTTTGTAACAGTCTCCTCAGCCGTTAACAGAAAATTATTAAAAACTCACCATTCCAGAGGGCTTCGTCCAATGAAACATGAGGCTTCTACGAAGCAGCTCTCTGTCCAGCTCTCTGTGCTTCCTTTACACTCAGTGGAGAGAAACAGGCACTTCTTGGTGCAGTTCTCCAATGTGTTTTAGATGTGTTTTTCAGATGACCTGAATCTTGCTCCAGATCCCTCTGACTAGACCGGACTAGGATGAGCAGCCCAGGGCTTTACACCTGTACTGCAGCCAGGTGGTTTCTGTACCTCGTGTCATCTGCCACCCAGCTCTTACTGGCACTCACAGCTTTTCCATACCAAGCAGAACCTACTATGAAATCTCCATTTTCTTTCAGCACTGATAGGACTCTTGCACTTCAGGCTTCCATATGGGTATTGTTTCTTGGCACCGTGTTTTATTTAGTAATCACTCAGTTTAGTGATTGGCACCACTTGGCACTGCAGGGTGAGCTGTTCAAGTGGCAAGCTCCAGTAAACTTGCTGCATAGTGTGCTCCTTTGCCTCCAGTCTTCACAGAGCTACACTTGGGCATGAGGGAGAACTGGATCTTCCTCCAGTTCTGGTACAGGCTGGGCAGTCTGGGCCAGTCACAGCTCTTCAGCAGCCAGGCAGTGCCCTGAGGCACCTGCTAATGTCCCTTCTCAAACATCTCTACACTACACAGAAAAGTGGTCACACATATTTTAATTGTAAATATTGCAAAGTACTGAAATGTACTCCACCTCTAGTGTGCATAGGTTCTTTCTTTTTTTTTTTTTTTTTTTTTTTCAGGTGGCAGCTGTTCAGCTGCAGGGAGACTGCAGAGTCCAAACCTCTATTCTGCAACTGACTTGGTGCAAGTCCTGAAGTAGGTTTATGTAGGTTTATCCACCATGAGGTTTATCATAGAGTCAAGTATTTGGGAAGCAAGGAATTCTGTGGAGAATCACGGAAGTTTCCTAGTTTCCATATATTTGGTGGTTAGCTGGTTCTCATTGTGAGAGAGCCCTAAAGATGCTAGCCCCTCTCTGTGGGGACAGAAGATGGGCAGGTACAACCATCAGTGACTTTATCTTGCACTAGGACTGTAACTGGGAGATGTAACTGGGAGAAAAAACACAGGAGCAGGATCACAACTACACAGAGATCTTGTTCTAGAGCAGCCCAAACAACAATACCAGTGCAAAACTTTTACTAAGTGGTATCTTAGATATATTGATGTTTACATAGCAGCTGATCCCACAGGGTCACTGGCATAAATACACAGGAAGGAAGATGTTCTCCAGTGACCTGTGTTACACACAAAGTCCAAGACTCAAAATGTGCAGATATAAGTGTACAGAAGAATTGCGAGAAACTCAGGCAGGTGGCTCCTGAGTCTCCAAAACTTAACCTGGTGTTAATTCTTACCTAGCTGGGTGCTAGAGTCAGCTCCTTTCTTTCTGCTGGCATCAGCATCAGGATGGCTTCAAAACAACATTGTAAGGCAAAGAGCTCAAGTTATCCCACCCATCAGGTCACGAGTGCCTGTCACTATGAGGTGTCCTCCACAGGAGCCTCCACAGGTTGGGCAGTGTTACTCAATGCTCTGAAGCAATGAAGTCTCCGCTCTCTTACTTTCCTGGGTACTGGCCACTGTTTTCTTCACAGTTGCTGAGTTTGGCAGACTTTTGCTTTTTGTGGAGGTTGGCTTCCTTTGTTTCTGATGAGTGGATTGGAGAGATTTCAACCCCAGCATCTCACAGTACTTATTGCACTGGTGAAGGACTTTGAACTGCTCAATGAAGGAAACGGAGCAGTTGCCTTTAAAACCATTGTATCTGTAACAAGAAAGACAAAAACAAAGCCAAATGGAACTTCAAGACTCACTGTCAGCATAGGGGAGGTAGAGTATGACTGTTGAGTCACAGGTAACTTGGAAACATTAAGCAAGACTATTCCACTCATGCTGTATTGAGAAGCATTAGCTCTCTTTTTACAGCTGATCAAACTGAGCCATTGATGGGTGACAGAAACCAGGTAGTCAGTAATGACAGCATAAAGCAAAAGACCCAAGAGTCCTGGTTCGTCTGAGGCCGATGTCCTAGCTGCTATTCTCCATTTCATTTTGTTGGGAATGTATTGTCAGATACCTTAGTCTCAATAGCAGATAAGTAAGTTGCATTTTACAGCATTCTTTCTAAACAGACAAGAGATGAGGCTGCCGTGGGAGGTGTTGTGGATCCAAATACACCTGCATCTTCTCTGCTATCACCTGGGCGCCGAGCCCTGCGCAAGAGGCCGGTAAGGGCCCTGACCGCCCACCTGGCCCGCGCGGCTCTCGGCCCAGCACGGGTCCCTCCGTCCCCCTGCGTTTTGTGAGCAGGCTCGTAGAGACAGGGGCGCAGGAGGGCTCTGCATCGCTGCTCCCTGCCCTGCCAGGGCAGAGGGCTCCCTTGGCCTGGGAGCACTGCCCGCGTCTGCCATCGCTGTGAGCACAGACTGCTTCTTAACAGGGTCACTGTGGCCAAGCACGTCACCAGCGGGTGGAAGAGAGGAACAGAGGCCACGCTGCCCCTGCCCATGCGTCGTGCCTTCCTAACTGTATGTATTTAGCAGTCCTTTTATCTTCTCATAGGTAGACTTCAGTTTCAAATTCTTCTCTGAAGTCAGAGATCTTGCATGTTAAATATGTATTTCAATGAAACAGAGATCCAGATGTATTTTACTGTTACTCATCATGTGGAGCTCTCCATTCCAGGCAGGTCAGTCTCCCAGCTGAAGAGTGGTGCCAGCGCTCTGCAGGCTCGCGGGGGACGGCGGGATGCGCCTCCACGGGGCAGGCTGTGGGGTTCTCCTCTCACGGCCAGGTACGGGGGCACAGCGGGCACGGGGAGCAGCAGGGCAGGGCACAAGGACAGGACCCGAGCTCGGCAGCAGGGGCGGATGCGCTGGCGCCTCTGGGCCCCTGTGGCCCTGGGGGCTGCGGTGGCAGCAGCTCCCTTGGTGCCAGCCCGGCTCGGCCCATCCAGCAGCTCTGTGTGTCACACATGGTCCCCATCCACCAACCCGCGGGAGCAGAGCAGCACCCTGCCAGCAAAGGGCAGCAGCAACGCGGCCTGGGGCGCTTTGATTCATTTGTCATGAATAGTCAATGAATTCAATTGGGTCTTTGTGGAAACAAAGGCTAAATCTCAGTCAGTGCCAGTGGCAACAGATTATTCAGGCAGCTGTTGTTAAAGCACCTCTCCCTGGCGGGATGTGTCACTGCTGGAAGCCCTGTAGGTAGCAGCGAGGCGTTTGCCAGCATCTGAGCAGCTCCTGCAGAGCCCTGGTAGCATCTGCTCCCTCTGATAGCTGAAAATCTCCATCTGAAAGGCCTCACTCCCCTGCACTTGCAGGAGTGGAGCCCGCAGAAATCACGAGGATAAGCAGTCTCCGTGGTTATATGTGAGAGGTTTCACTGCCCTGGCTGGCGGCTACTTCAGGTTGTGGATGTAAAATGACCACACAATCTTTCTCTTGCTCTCTCTCCATTTTTTTTTCCAGGTAACCATTTTGTTGCAGCTAATGGAAATTTCGTCATATGTTCTTCCCTGCTACAGGAAGCTTCAGTACTATAAGATATGATATTATTCATTTAGTTATGGAGATAATCTTGGCATGAAAAAAGATGACTTCCATTGAGAACTTAAGGGAAATCTGTGTGCCAGCTCCATTACTAGTTCTTGCACCCAGTAATGTTTCTGAGCAATCTCTACTGCTGCAGTAACAGCAGCTATTGAACTCCAGAACTTACTAGAATAAAGGGCAACCTAAACGCATTCGTCACAGTCTTTTGTAAGGGATGTTGGGTCCCTGCTTCCTTAATTTAACGGGACACTGCTGGGTTCGAGCGCACGCGGTCCGGTCAGGCAGGGAGGGCTGCCGGCACCTGCAAGTCTGTGGACCCGGCACCAGGTTAGAATCGGAATCTCTTGAGTGGAATATCTATCAAACTACACACCAAAGATCAGTGACCAGCCTAGAAATGATGGATTTAACTTAGTTATTGGCTAGCATGGCACCTAAACTAGTTAAAGAACAAATACTGATAACTGCATCAGCTGTTTTCTTGTATTTGCTACCTGTCACTTCCTGTATGTATTTGAAGGAACATCTAGAGAAGGAGCAGAGACAGAAACTCGCTCAGAATCTACTTTGAGTGACAGTCACTCTAAATGAACCCATAGACTTTAGTTTTGGGATTCAGCAAATGCCAAAAACATTTTCAGTAAGGAGATAGCAGCATAACTGTATTGAGAACAAAACAGCGACCAGGACATTTGTATTAGCAGCGTGATCCATTTTCTTTCACTAGCTTTGCTCATCAGTCAGACCGTGCTCGTGCTCCTCTCCGTGGGGCCGTGTTTGCTGTGGGGGCGAGTGCCGCGGCCCCGCGCTCGCCGCGCGGACGAGCCACCTTGGGCTGCGCGAGCAGCTCCCGCCTCGGACCGGGCCGCAGAATCCTGCTCTCCGGGGTGGGCCCTGAGCCTGGCACCAGGGCTCCCAGCCCCGCGCGCCCCCTTAGTCACTGCTGCTTTATTAATTCACAGGTTAAATCACTGCCGGACAAAACCACTTCTATGAGGATTCCTCCCTCCCCAGTATGGGTAGCTGCAGGTGGGCTCAGGACAAGCCTTGCCCGACTCTGGGGGCGCGGGGAAATGCCCAGTGCCGCTCTAGGCTGGCACTGCCCAAAGCCTCTTGCTGCCCTGCTGGGCCAGCGCAGGCCCCACAGCAGGCGAATGGACCCGCACGTGGCAAACAGCGGCGGTGGCCGTCGCGGTGGCCACGGCACCCGTCACCATGACACAGGTGGGACACTCATCATTGTGGCACAGGTGGGACACCCATCTGTGCCACTGAACACCCACTGCATTGGCACAGGCGGGACACCTGTCACCGTGGCACAGGTGGGACACCCGTTGGTTCCAGGGGACATCCGTCATGGTGCCACAGGTGGGACACCTGTCACTGTGTCATAGCTGGGACACCCGTCAGTGCTGCGGGACACCCATCAGTGCCGCGGGACACCCGTGACGGTGTCACTGCCGGGACACCCGTCAGTGCCGCAGGACACCCATGACGGTGTCACCACYGGGACACCCGTCAGTGCCGCRGGMCACCCRTGACRGTGTCACTGCCGGGAYACCCRTCAGTGCCRCGGGACACCCRTGACGGTGTSACYGCYGGGACACCCGTCAGTGCYGCRGGACACCYGTGAYGGTGTGACCACYGGGAMACCCGTCAGTGCCGYGGGMCACCCATGACRGTGTCACTGCCGGGAYACCCRTCAGTGCCRYGGGACACCCATGACGGTGTGACCGCCGGGACACCCGTCAGTGCCGCAGGACACCCGTGACGGTGTGACCACCGGGACACCCGTCAGTGCCGCAGGACACCCATGATGGTGTCACTGCCGGGACACCCGTCAGTGCCGCAGGACACCCGTGACGGTGTGACCACTGGGAAACCCGTCAGTGCCGTGGGACACCCATGACGGTGTCACTGCCGGGACACCCGTCAGTGCCGTGGGACACCCATGACGGTGTGACCGCCGGGACACCCGTCAGTGCCGCAGGACACCCGTGACGGTGTGACCACCGGGACACCCGTCAGTGCTGCGGGACACCCATGACAGTGTCACTGCCGGGACACCCGTCAGTGCCGCAGGACACCCGTGACGGTGTGACCATCGGGACACCCGTGGCACAGCAGCCCTGGCACTCCGTCCCCGCTGCGCGCCGGGCTCTGTCCCCAGGGCCCATCGCGGAGCCCCGGCAGCCCCCAGGCTCTGCAGCTCCGCTGCGGCCGCGCTGGCTCCGCGCTGCAGATCCGCGGCTGCAGGGAAGCCCTGCCCCCCAGCGACCAAGCTGCTTTATGTATTGCAGCTGCCACGGGGCCTGGCGCTTTCCAGCTCCCGGAGCAGCAGAGATGAAAGCCCAGGATTCCCTTGAGAGTGTTAAGTGCTGAAAATATCCACCTCCCCCCAGCTTCCACAGGAAGCAGAGGGAAAATTTAGACCCCGGCTACATAAATGCTCACTCAGAAACCCTCCTGCAGAGTTGGAATAAGTCGGGCCAATAAAAGAAGGATTAATGGCCATGAGCAATGCTGAACATACATGCAAGATTTTAATATGTGCTGCTCTGCGTGCTTGGTTTACGTGAAACACTGGGGGCAGATAATGGTCCTGAGTAACTCCTGCATTTGCCACGCTGGCTTTGTACAGCCCTCGCTGCCAGTCTGCGCCACGACACCGGAGCAGCCGGACGCGCCGCATCCCTGGGCACGTCCTCCCGTTCCCTTCCTTTCCCCGGGCACCAGTTCAATGCCAGGTACGTTCGCATTTTATCTAGTGCCCGTTTTGATCAGAAGCACAAGAATGTTTTCCCTTTCACGAAGGGGCTGCAAATTCCCAAGGTCCCTTTGCCCGTGAAGGGCTGCTGCAGCCTTAGCAGAGCCTGAGCAGGAGGAYGTGGCCAGGATCAGCGGGGCCCTCAGCTCTGCAGGGGGAGCCATTAGAATTCACGCAGGCAGCTGCACTCAACAAACCTTCTGCACTGTCGCTAACAGTGCAGGCAAAGAACACCTGGATCACGCTGTCGCTTTCAGCCAGGCATGACTAGGTACCTTCCCAACACGTCCAGTTTACCACCTCTCATGGCTCGGGCTGCCTATCACCAAAGGCAGCAACAGCCCGTGGCGCAAGGAATTCTGTACCTGTTTGTTCTCCCCGTCCAGGCTGGCTGACTTAAAAACCAAACTGAAAACACTAATGCAGAGCAATGAAAGGAAAATACTAGATTAGAAAAATATCGCTTCCCTTAACAATATCATTAGCTAAATGTCAAATGGGATAATACGCAACATATTTAAGAGTTTTTTTATGAAGGGAATGTCTGGCCGAGGTGATCCTCACTACAGCTTGCATTGTGTATTCGTTTTCTCACTTCACCTTCCTCTTCCTTAGTCCAAGCTCTGTTTTTATAGCAGTAGTTTCCCATGGAAAGCTAGCTAACCACATACATTAAAGCCTTTCTACAAATCTATTTATGAGAACAGTGTTACCTAAATAAAATTTTAATAACTAACTCCTCTGTTTTCTAACAGGATGATGCAAGAATAATTCAATTAATTTCACTTTGGTTCCACAGCTAAAAAGCAAATATAAGTTTTGAAAGAATGCCAGCCTGCAAATGTTATGGATTTGCCCAGAACATCCTGACATCAAATGTTTAATAATTGAAAAAGTACCATTGAGTTTTTTTTCTTCCTGTACTGCTGGGATACAGAAGAATTCACATTCAGTACAAGGACTGAGTACGTGTGATCAGCTCTGTCTTTTTTTTCTGTCATGAGAGAATAAGAATTTGAAGTTGGAACGCGGGGTACGGTGCCACGAAACAGAACGGTGACGATAGCAGCATCACCCGTCGTGTGCACCACTTGTGTGGGAGTCTGATGTACAGTCACGAGAAAAAATCTGCTCAGGGAAAGAAGTACTAGAAGAAGCACTTTTTTTCTGATTAAAAAATGTAGCCATTGAGATTGAAGAGGTGAATTACTAAATGCTCTGCGATGGCATGCAATTGGTGACAGGAAATATAGTTCTATATGACACATTAACTCACCAGAACTCACTGCAGAGTGATACCATTGGGGAAAACAATTTGGCATGTTTCAGATAAGCGTTAGCTCTCTGAGTATCAATGAAAGCAATTTTTTATATTTTTCCTGTAAAAATGAATAAGCGTTACTCATTTTTCACCACAAAAACTAGTTGTGCTCAAAAATAATAACAACGTGGCTCTGAAATACTACTGCCTTTCTCGGCAGGGGTGTTTGCAGGCCCCGCTCACCATCTGTACTCGCAGGTTGCTGCGTCTAGAAGCAGCCGGTGCCTGACGTGTAACTCAGCAGGCGACAGGACGGAGCCAACCCGACTGCTTCTCTGCACACGGATAACCCAGGAAGCACAGAAAGCAGCTTTCTGATCGTTTAAAGTGCTCCTCTGCAGCACACAGGCGAGTATCAGCACTGCCACGAGCATTTTGTGTCCAATAACTCCTGGTTCTGGCAAATCTTCCAGAGATCTGAATGGAGCCAAGATTTCATGCTGTGATACTACTACTGAACCACAGGATTTACTGGTTTATAATTAGTAGAAATGACAGAAGGAGCATTGAGGGCCTGTATCATTATAGCTACACTAGGGCTCGCTGGCTTCCGAGCCAGTCCGTGCGCAGCGGGCAGTGCCCAGCAGCACCAATGCGGCTCTGCCCCGGCCGCCCCCGCTGCAGCCTGTGTCCTGCTGCAGCCCGTGCCCTGCTGCTGCTGCAGCCTGTGTCCTGCTGCA